CTCTTGAATCCCTACACTTAGCTGTTCTTATAAGCACAAACCCAACCCCTTGAAGAACTGGTCCTGAGTGAGGCAGAGTGCAAGCTCACAGGAGCACCCAAATCTCAAAAAGCTCTTTCTCTCGACCTATTAGAGTTTATTAGAGCACTTAAAAAATCTAGTGTGTAGCAGTTACTGAACATAGACTCTTGTTCTGTTGTGCTTCCTGCCACAAACCTCCAGAGCTTAGTTCCCGTCTAAAATTAAAGGAAACAGACAGGGGTAAAAAAAAGATTGTTCAAAACAAAAAAATCACATCAATTTATATCACCACAAATAAAAACTGGTTTTGTAGTCGTGGCTCTTCTCCTAATCCACCATATGGCAGTGTGTGAATCCTTCACCTGAGTGTTAGTTTCCTCCTTTGTAAAGTAAAAGGGTTGAACCAGGTGATTTTTAGAGTCCTTACTGGCACTAACATTCTATGAGTACATGTTTGCAGACCACAAGCACATTTGAAGTCCAGAGTTGACAAGTTGTGTGTATAATCATCCCCACACAGCTTGAAGAGGATGACATTATATAATTCATATTCAAGTATTTTGAAAAGTTAAATGTAACATATAAGTAGACCTTGGTGTACAGAGATTTGGTGTCCAGCCATTTTCTTTACAGCCTTCAGCCAATTAAATCCATGTTCTCAATTTACTACACTCATTGCCAGCAGAGAGCACAAAAAGGAACCTTAATCTGCCATTTTCCTTCTTGATGTACTCCAGACACTAGACTCAGCATCATCGAACCTCTCACTTTCCTACAAGACTCTACCCTTCCTTCTCCACGGGGCCAGGCGGGGAACCAGGGAAAACGAGAGGCTTTGGGCCAATGATGACTGTCCCTAACTAAGTGTAAGGATAATGGTTTTTTCTGTTGTGGTGGTTTTCATGGTTTAAATGCTCTTTTAAGCCATTTCAAATGAGGTGATCCCAAAAGATATTTTGAGTAGTAGCAGTGTTACTTCTCTCTCTCTCTCTCTCTCTCTATATATATATATATATAAAACCTCCCAAATATCTGCTTTGAAGGGTTCTACTCTGTTGTTGCTCATGTTGATGACTTAGTAAGAGAGAGCTTGGGCTTTGCAGTTGGACAGACTAGATCTAATCTATACTTGACTCTTATTGCCTTTGTAGCCTTGGACAAGTTGCTTAGCTCCTTTGAGCCTCAATTGTTCCTCTTTTCAAAATATTGGTTAAAAAACCTTACCTAATAGAGAGTTTATGAGGATTAGGATTCATGTTAATAGAAGATCAAGTTAGCTTTTGAGGGTCTCAGCCATCTGAGATTGAGAAATAATGAAAAACACAGGTAGCAAACATCTTATAAGACAGAAAATCAATTAGTGCCTTTTCATTAAGAAACTAGGAATCTGGAAATTTCTAGATTTCTGATTTAGCTCTCTTAAGTTACCTTTTGTATCAATTGTTCCTGAGTGCTTTTAAATGATCTTATTATATTTCTTCTCTCTCTCTTTTGTTGAGTATGTATTTGTAGAAAATTGTTGATTTTTCAAAACAATTGTCTACACATTTACAAAATCTTTATATCCAAGAAGGGTGTATTTTTTTAAAAAAAAACAATATCTCCTAATGAACGTGTTAAAAATAATTTAACAATGAGCTCTGTGGTCTTTCAATGTGGTTTCAGAAATTATCTTATGAGGATAGTCTCCTGAGATGGAAATTTAATACTACTTTGTTATAAACTCTTTGAGATAGAGGAATTGACCATTTTTATTTCCAGGCTCCAGGCCTAGTCATCTACTGGAAAGACGATAAGAATATGAGAAAAATACTGTTGGGAATGGAAAAAGGAAAGTTCTAGAGGTGACTAAATTGGCTAAATTGAAAATGTAGAATTTTAGTCTATTTTGAAACACTGTATATTCTTCATATAAACTTAGGTGTATGAAGCATAGAATTAATATAACAGTTTACCTAGATTGAAATTTCTATCATCAATGCACTGTTAACAATAAGAAATCCTATGTTAAAAAAATGAGAGAAATAGATTAGACATTTCATATTCAGTCTTTAGTGCTGACTTGCTGCCCAGCTGGCACAATCTCCATCCTTTCTCATTACCTGAGTAGGAGGTTACCTTCCAGTGTCTGCCCATCCCCATGTTACCATGGATAAGCAATGAACAGCAACAAGTCTCTCTCACTGTTTGCAACCTCAGCAATGGATACAACTGGCCCAGAATTTACCTTATGCAGAATTTGATGGTGGGTTTTACTTTTTTAATTTAAGAATAGATGATGAACACGACAAAGTGGATTACTAAAATATTTTCTTTTAGGTGAATGACATATATTCTGTGTTCATTAGCTGCAAGTAGGCCTGGCATTTGCTTGGTGCTCAGGGAAGCCCAGAAGAGAACACTGGCCTCTATCATCTTGGAACTTACAGCCTAGATTGAAAAACAAAAGTGACACACACACACGCACACCAGCTAACAATCCATGACTCCAGTAGTGTGCTAAGTATTGTGGGAGTTCACAGAGATGAAGGGAAGAGAGGACGATCTCATTTTATATTCAGAAAAAGAAAATAGCAAAGAAAGACCGAGGTTTCTTTCTTTTGTTAGATTATCAGCCAAAGAGTAAACATGCTGCTTTTCCCATCACTTCAGTATATTTCATGTAATTTCTGAAAAAAGATTCACAAAATACCCTGAAATCTACACTTTCAATAAGTTTCATAAATTAAAATATTCTGACATGAATAAAATATAATACAGTGAAATATATTTTCCATTAATCTTCTTTTGTTATTGGTAAATAACACTTTCTAAATTATTGAGGTAAATATGCCTTTCAGGAAAAAACACATCCTTTTCTGATGTATTCTTTTATTAGTTAATATATGTTATGTCCAGACTAGGGCTTCTAAAGTATATTTGGTAATATAAATGTTTAATGAACCAAATAATACTGTATTAGGCACAATACACAAGACTGTAATAAAGGAAACATTTTGCTCTAACTGTCTTTACCATCTCTGGCCAGGAGGACAATATTTCCGAGCTCTTCATAATGCTAAATTTTCTTTTTTAATGTGATATTATTGGTACATGGCAAAAGATAGAACTTAAAGAAAAACAAACCCCAGATAGGTAACAGAAATTAATGAGTTAGAGGAGAGAAAAATCAGAAAACCTAATAAATCAAAAGATTATATTGGGAAAAGATGAGCAAAATAGCTCAAAATAACAACCAAAATAGCTAATTTGATCAGGGAAAAAAGGAAAAAGCACAAATATACAAAATAAGAGGTGACAAAGGAAAAAACCTTTGAAACAGAAGAAATTTTTTTAAATCATAAGATATTATTTAGCAGACTTCTATGCAAATAAGTTGGAAAACCTAGGCCAAATGGATAATTTCCTAAGGAAATATAGACCATAAATATTAATCTTATTAGAATTAAATAGCTTATATAGACTATTTTCCATAGAGGAATTAGTGAAAATTATTAAGGAGCCACCCCACATAAAGCACCAGGCCCAGATGGTTTCACAGGTGAATTCTACCAAATTTCCACTATCACATATAAGGGAGGCTCAGCGTTCAGGTCCCTCCTGTTCCTTATTAATTGCCATTAATATAAACTGGCATTATTTGGGACATGTATTTCTTAGAGAAACTCAGGAAATGTCACTTGTTGCATTTGCTACAACCTGGGAAATTAATTTTTCTGAAATGTTACATTTTTCTTACTTAAAATTCACTATGTGCTGATGTTATCCTTTCTTTTTCCCGAGAGAGAGAGAGAGAGAGAGAGGCAAAAATCATTAATTTTATAAGTGTGAAGTGATTTCAGGTCTAAATAAGGGAATCTGACCAAGGGTTTCACACTCAGAAATAACACCAAGACGTCTAGGGTCCATGTTACTTCCTATTCCTATCAATAACATGATGTTATCAACGTGTAAACCACACTGTGAAGGGCTGTGGTACACTGTTGTGACGAATTTCAGTCCCAACTAGATCACAGCATTTGTCAGAAGAGTAAATGAATCTGAGTCTGGATGGTGAGGGTGTACTGCAGTACTGCTAGGTTGAATAAAATATTTATGCTGTTCATAAAAATAGACAAATATATTCAGCTGACATAGTTCCCTACCATGTGCCAGGAGCTGCATTAATTTGCTTCAGCAAGAAAACCACATCTGAAACACAAACAGCAATTCAAGTCATCACCTGATTAGGTGCAAATAACCCTTTGCCATTCTCCAGGACTTTTCCGTGTTTTTAACTCCCCCTCTGTGGAATTTAATGAGGATGTGATCAGAATATAGATACAAATCTTGCAATTCCTGCAGTGAAATAACTTTGCTTTGAATTTGCTAGCTTGGAAGAAAAGAAGAGACCGAAGGACTTATTTTGTGGAGAAAGGATTCTCCTAGTTACTCAAGATATATATTCCAAATATACAATAAGGGACTTGGGAAATAACCACAGATAATCTTGAAGAACGTTTTGAGTCTACCATGAAGCAAACTTAGCTCAACATACTTTTATACCAATTGATGCCCATTTTAACTATTTGGCTTAACTGGAATCCTGGACTTCTAGAAATTAATGTCATCTCTCAGGCAGTATCCAACAGTCCTTCCTTACTCAAGGGTTCTTTAGGAAAGAGTAGAATGAAGGTACACACATGTGTGTTATCACAGTGTCTCTCTATTAAGAGTTTAGCTAAGCTACTCTATGGTATTGCTGCCCCGGCATCCATTTTGTTTGGCCAAGCAGCCTGCAATGACCTTAAACTGACACTATAGCCCCCTCATGTAAGAGCATGCCCTAGATAGCAGGCCAGAGTCATAAGCAAATGTAAGTTCCTGATGTGATTTCTCCCACAGCCCTTGTGATCAGTAGTCTCCCTTGCCTCCAAGCACCTTCCTGTTGTATGCCCCTTAGATAAGACTCCACCGTGGAGCTTACCAAAACCCCCCTCTTTTAGCTTGAATTGATCAATCTGGCCTTAGCCTGGGAACCCCAAAGCCTACACCCACAGACCCTAATAAAGGCATGTGCCCCAGGTACTGCCTCTTTCTGTCTACACTCTGCCTTGACTTCCCCGTGTGGACCCCAAGGTGTGCTGGGTACTTCCTCCAGGACCTGCGAGTAATAAACTCTATTCCAATGACTCTTGTGGTCTGTTGTTGAACCACAGCATCTCACCATCTGGCACCCTGTGCTTCACTTAAGAAGTGTTAATTTGACAAATTCATAACACTCTCCTTAATGGTACCTGACCTCTTCTTTTTTTTTTTTTTTTTTTGTGAGGAAGATCAGCCCTGAGCTAACATCCATGCTAATCCTCCTCTTTTTGCTGAGGAAGACCTGCCCTGAGCTAATTTCTATTGCCAATCCTCCTCTGTTTTTTTCTCCCAAAGCCCCAGTAGATAGTTGTATGTCATAGTTGCACATCCTTCTAGTTGCTGTATGTGGGACGCGGCCTCAGCATGGCTGGACAAGTGGTGCATTGGTGCGCGCCTGAGATTCAAACCCGGATGCCAGTAGTGGAGCGCGCGCACTTAACTGCTCAGCCATGGGGCTGGCCCCTGACCTCTTCTTTATTCAAAGTGCTCTGAGTCTTGATCTGTCTCAGGCATGAGAGCCTGTTAGAGGTTGGGACTTTCTACTGTTGTGACTCAGATCAGGCCTCTGCTCACCAGACTTAGATTTTGGGGTTTTTATGATTCAAGTAAAGCCTAATTGACTTTCCGATTATTTCATTTGGTGGACCTCTATAATTATTTAGCCATTCTAGAGAATTCTGAGATCATTCCCTGAGATGTTAATTCTTCCTACCCTTCTCCATTTGCCACTATCTAGGCTCTGCCCACCAGGGTCCTCCCATTTTTGCTAAAACCATAGAATCCAATTTTCTCCATTTTAATTGCTGCCTTTTCACTAGAATTCCTGGCCTAGAATGAACAGCCAGCAAAGTTGTTTTTAAAGATGCAAGTGCATCTCTCATCAATCTATTCTTCATCACAAGTGTGAAGGAGAAGTTTGGGGGCCCTGGAATGAGGTAGGGATTTTTGAAAGCATGGGATAGCATTTTTGCCTCCCAAACTCTTTCAAGTATATCTTCCAAATTATGCCAAGATTTTTCTGGTCTTTTTTGCCATTCAAGGTTTGTCTTCAGTCTAAGTTGTGTTAAAGAACCTAGAAAATGTTTAGATCTAAATGGAGCTACCATGTTGATAAGGAAACTCTAGTAAGTTCACTCATATGAAAAATTTAGCCTAGTCCAAAATTTTGTTTCACCATCCTTGTTAAGCATTCAAAATATCCATTTCCCAAGACACTTTAAATTCATGAATTCATGCAATAATTTTTACTTTGACTTTTTATTTTATCACCTAAGCAAAGTTGAGATTTTTAAAATCCTGCTTACTTGAAGAAATAAGGCACAGTGGAAGTTTTAGCTTTCTCTTTCAAGTAGGCATGTCTTATTCCGCCAAGAGAGGAGCAATGAAAATTATTTCAGATGGATTCATTAGTCCAAGGTTCTCAAAATCCTCTCAGATTTCATTGTTTCAGTTATCAAAATCTCACTCAGTTGATCAAGGCTCTAACTTGCACTTAAAACACTTGGCAAGGTTATCAATCTAAAGGCTGCTGTAATTCAGCAACTCAAAAAAATCAATGCTCAGTTTGATTTTCAGTGATCTCTGACCAACTGCTACAATCAATAAGGTATTTTTTTCACACTTCACAGGAAGGCTAATAGTTTCATTCTATGTCTTGAGTGAGCATTTCACAATGTGAGCTTGTTTTCTCTAGCTTTAAGTTATCCAATACCATCAGAATCAAATATTTCACCCCACTGTCTGGTATTCCTTATCTCCTTTAATTTAGCCTTTTGGACTAGCACCCTGTCCCAGAGAACGTCATCTTCAGTGGGCACATGGGTCCAGGTAAATAGACTTGATCAACTGATTAGTCCTGTTGCCATGTAAACCACGAGCAGCTTATCTTCTCATCCAAGAGTCTTACTACATTTACTCCATCTCATCCAAAAACCAAATCCAGATAACTCACATTTTCCTGGGGGTCTATTGCCTAGAACCTAATTTTTGTATCTAATCTTGTTAGACTTGTCTAGTTGTAATCAACAGAAACCAATTATGCTTAATTTAAGGGGGAAAAAAAGAATTTATTAGAAGAAAAATGCGTAGCTTACAAAATCAAAGGAAAAGTTGAAAAACTAAACTTAAAGCAGACAAAAATCAGAACAGTTTCAGGTATTTTAATAGCAGAGATTTGCAAATTTATCATAGGGCATTATAATCAGACAACCCCCTACAATTTCCTTCCACCTCTGCGTGTTTCTGTGTAACAACTGAATTCTGAGGATAGAGAGTTTGATTGGCAAACATGGGTCATGGACCCACCTCTGCATTGGTGAGAAATAGACTGGGCCCCACAATTCCTCCAAAATTATACAGATTAGGAAAGGAGTAATTTCCACTCCACCTCCCAAAGAAAGGATGCTGGGAAGACTATACACGTAAATACATACACACATACATATGTACAGACATAAAAGACTGTCTGTTACACATGGAAAATGATCTAGAATTCTTATTGATTTGCATGATCATTCTGGGAAAGAAATTAGATTACTCAAATGAAAATAAATACTCTTAGTTCAACCTCATATCTCAGCTGCCACAGTCACAGCTTTGTGCAAATTATTTCCAGTGCCCAGATTCTAGACACTCTTGCTTCTGAAACTGAGCCCTCACTTACCATAGCCGAGCTCAAGGGATTTGTAAATAGAAACATTAGGCAAATGGTGGAGGAGACTGGTCATCAAGATTTCGTAGTTGTCTTACCACTCAACACATCACCTCAAACTCCACCAAAGGTGCCAGTCCTGCTGAATTTCTAATTAGGTGATTTCTTAACTGTGTGTATCCAGACATAACCAACAAATTACAAGACAATAGTTATAGATTCTAGCTAATGCGTTGCTTCCACCACCAACTCCTCACGTGTTTTTTTTAACACAAGAATTAGATTTTTCTGCCAAGGTAACTTTGTTCGGGGGCTTTTTTCCTACAGGGAAGAAAAGTGGCATTGGCCACTGAAGCACCATCATGCTGTTCAATTTTGAAAACATTTCTCTCATGTAGGGCCAGAGCCTGCCCCTGCGACACATTGTTGCAAATTAGAAAAATGCCCCCCTTCTGGGATGGAATTAGAAAAGCTACTCTCTGAACTACCACCACCACTCAGGTATCCAACTTGGCAATCAGAGCAAGAACAGAACTTTAGCTGCCCCTCACCTCATGGCCCAGATCTTTGTGCAGTGTGTAATTTGATTTACGATTTATGGTGGCTCTGCTCTCGGGGTAATTCAGACAAACTGAAACAACTGGAAACCTTTCCTTTGGAGTCATCTGGTTGAAAGTGTCAGGAAAAAAGACCACAGAAAATCCTAAATTGGAGTCATCCAGTATTTCTACATCCCTTAGATTACTGAAGAAAATTGCACCATGTTACTGGTTGAAAGATTTTTTCCATTGTGGTTTCTAACTCTTCAGATGCTTCTATTTTCTTAGTATTTAACGTGATACATCATGTTTAAGATGCTGGGCCCTTGCTGAATGCAGTCAAAAATGAATATTAGGACACTTACCCCTTTTTCAGAAAAGTAGCTTCCTGAATTGCCCTCCTCCTTCCTGTACTTTGTCCTCATTCCTTGCTCTTGACTCTTCTTGCTACAATCCACAATGTGCCTTAGCTCCTTAGCTCAAATTAGTGCAGGCTCTTGCGTCTTAGTAACTTTCTTGGCTGTGGCATTGTCCCTCCAGCTCAGGAATGCCTTCGTGGACACCATTAAGTAATGATCTTCCCATCTCAGCTTGGTCCTCAGGACCCTCTCATAGGTATACTTTACTCTCAATCTGGCTTGGCTAGACTGACAGTTTCTCTCTGGTTTATTTTCCTTCCTTACACAATTTGGGCCCAGGATTACTCATTTCAAGGCCAGTTTTACCCTCACTATATTTTGATTCTCTGTCACAACTACCTACCTGAGATCTTTAATGTGGGTCAACTCAGGCATTCCCACACTGGGTTCTTATAATGCTTTACACCATTGGTTCTCAAATGTGATCTGGGGGTCAGCAAGGTAAAAATCAATTTTATAGTAATACTTACATGTTGTTTGCCTTTTTCATTCTCATTTACCCTTAGTAATGTATAGCAGAGTTTTCTATATTGAATATAGAAACATATATGGGAATCCACCCGTCTTATGTTTGGCCATATATTATAGAGAGTTGCAAAAATTTTAAACAATGCAATTTTTCTCACTAAGCTTTTGCTCTCCACCTATAGTTATTTTTCACAGAAATGTTATATATGTTAATGTGTAATGGGTTTATTATTGTTATTTTTGTATGTGTGTGAGGAAGATCGGCCCTGAGCTAACATCTGCCAATCCTCCTCTATTTTTGATGAGGAGTCTCGGCTAACATCCATGCCCATCTTCCTCTACTTCCTCTACTGTGGGACGCTGCCACAGCATGTCTTGACAAGCGGTGCGTCGGTGCGCACCCGGGATCCAAACCCGCGAACCCCGGGCCGCCGCAGCGGAGCGTGCGCACTTAACCGCTTGCGTGGCACCAGGCCGGCCCCTATTATTGTTATTTTTAAACGAATGGAATGAATAATTTTTTAAATTTTCAAAGGCTTGTGGCAACAATTTATAGATATAATGTGCAAAAACAAAAGCCCTGTGGGGGCTCAATAGTTGTTAAGACAGACAAAAGGTTTGAAAATCAGTGTTCTAAAACATGAGATCACTCGTGAACATTTTGGGAGGGTGATGTGCCGGGGTGCTTCTGAGTCCAGATATCATGCCCCATCACAGTTGGAGAGTGAGTGTGGAGCTCAGGACATAGATATGTGATGAAGACATGTTAGAGCTTTGAGACTCTTTGGTATGTAAATGATAATTTAAGCAGTAAGTATTGTTGAAATGTCACAGGGAATGTACAGGTAGAATGTCACAGGGAGTAAGAGAATTAGGACCAACTCTCAAGAAACAGCAACCTGAAAAGGTAGACAAAAAAAGACGAGTTTGCAAAGAAGGTCAAAGTGAAATGTCCAAAGACAGAGGAAGGAAGTAAGGAGAGTGAAGTCACACAGAAATCAAGGGGCAAGTGTTTCTATAAGAACAGAGTGGTCAGCAGTGTTCACTTCTGCTAGGAGATCAAGTAAGAGAGGTCTTTGGTGACCTTGGTGAGAGGCTGCAGTGACCTTGTGGGTAAGAGATTGGCAGAATTCACATGTAAATGGTTTTAGATAAAGTGGAAGATGAAAAATTTGAGATAGCCACTCTCACAAGAAATTTAGCTGAAAGGGAAGAAGAGAGGTGCTATGAAAACTGGGGGGCGGGGGAGAGGATGGGTGAGGATTTTGTAACAGTAATATTAATATCTAGCTCACAAAGTGGCTTAAAAGTCTATTTATGTAATTGTCTCCAAGTGTCTGTCTGTCTTGTCTAATTACAAGTACCTTGAGTTAAGTGGTGTCCTTAACACCCTTCTCTATGTTCTCAGCATCTGCTACTTATCTGACAAATCACAGAAAGGTCATACATATTTGTTTAAATTAATTATTTACCTCTTTCATTGTTTTTTAAATATAAAGCAGGCTTATAGTTCCTAATAAACAATAGAAATAAAGAACCAGCTATCATCCCCTTTGAAAGAAGCCTTAAAATGCTTATCTTTATAAGGCCATTGAAGCTAATTGATATCATATAGGCAAGAGAATAACATATAAAAAAAAATCATTTTTAACCCCTGTGCATTCCTCCTTCCTCGCTGAAGAGAAGATGTGTGTTAACCACATCTATTTCAAGCCAGTGGCAGCAGAGAAGGCAGAGAATCACCAACTGTGGGAGCTCTGAGAAAGGAATTGATTTTTGACTGATGTAAAGATGTGCTCAACTCATCTGTCTATGTATATCCATTAAGTGGAACTTTGAAATCCTAAATATACACTGTAGTTATTAACAGTGATCTTTTAAAAGTCTACGAAGTATTGGTGACGTGAAATCATTACAGAAAATCATATGTTCAGAAGAAAAATAAAAAGAGCCTAATTAAAAGGGATAGTGACTAAAATTTATATGTCCAGTTCATAATTATTCAATTATTTTCATGAGATTACTCTAACATCTGTGTATAAAAAATTCCACTGCAAACACAAGACACACAACAGCCTCTATAGGCTCAAAAATAGAATGAAATTATGCACAACTGAGAAATCAGCAGCATGCTAACGACCATTTATTTTATTCATTTGTGAGATGGGTAATTGGTGAAGTGAATATTCTCTACTATAATTTTTCATTAAAGAAACATTTTTCTTCTAAACTAGCAGCTTGTTTTAAACAGAGCAGAGCCAATGACAGACTCTCACAATGTATTAGTAGATAGTATCTAGCTCTAATTACTGGTGGAAAACACACAAGACTAGTAAACTCTTAACTCTTTCTATATGTGGGTAGGAAATAGACTAGGGATTAAACTTCAACCCTTTGTAATGGACATCTGTCATATTCTTAATTCTCCGTCATCTTTGTATAGCCTTTCTGTTTTGGGGGAAATGTCTGCATTATGATCATTACCTCTCCGGTGTGGAAATCAGAAGTAAATTCTCAGCCTCTTTTGCAGACAGGAGGAAGGCATGTGACCAGGGCACCAGTCAGACACACCTGCTGGGCCTTCGATTCAGAAAAGAGCAATGGAA